GGGGGGGGGGGGAGGGCCTGTGACGCGGCGACGCGGGACCATATCTATGTATATGTATCAGTGTGTATGTGTATATAAATATATACACACACGCTTTCTATACATAATATCTACATACATATTACACGCATATACGGCCTTGTGATAACTTGCCGCAATGAACCCCATTCCGGTCAGGCATCTTGGCTGCAGTGCCGGAGGCTAATCGCAAACAGCAAGCGGTGACAGGTACCATGACTGCAACAATGCAAGCTTCCTCCCAACAGTTTGGCACTTGTAAGCTCCAAGAAGTTGGCTCCACGAGACTTTTTTACTGTTGCACGGCTCCGTGGGGGCTTAGGGCGTTTAGGGTTTGTGTTTGCTTGAGATTTTATCAGCTTGGACCTGCAACAGCTCAGAAATAATCGAGCGACACTCAACTGACACGAACCCCCAGCTCTGAACCTTGCAGGCTCTGAACTTGAAGCCGGGATCCCGGGACTCAGACCCGCAAACCCGCGTAATATGAAGCCTAAGCCGAATCTCCAAACCCCGAACAAAGCATCATACTCCGAAGCCTAACCCTAAACCCCTCTCTTTCAACATCCCATGCGGACAAGTCGCTTCCACTGGGCTTGGACGAACTACTTTGGCCGCCTCGGCTTGTATGCAATTCCCTTATACTCAAGTTGCAGGCTCTCAGGTTTGAGGGTAGGCTTGCGGTCAGGATTTGGGGCTCTACAGTCAGCGGGTTCGGAGCTCAGGACCTCGAGTTCAGGGTGTGCTTTCGGGTGGAGGGCTTCAAGGGTGCCAGTGCCGTCTCAAGCTTCAGTGGATTATTAGGCATTCCGTTTACGGTGAAGCTACTGAGGCTACTATATGAACCCGCTGAAATCTAAACCCTAAGCCTAACCTTAAACCTCAAACCTCAAAGCGAACCGAGGACATCCAAAGTCAAGGGCTAGCTCAGGCTATAACTCGTCATTCTCTAGCTCGGGCCTGCTGTGCCCTAGGAACTAGTGAGGGGGTCCACAACCATTGCTTAGGTTTAGCTTTACTGGTGTTCGATTTCATCACAACTGTTACGGGTGCTTCTGAAATTGCTTATTGACTTCGTGCTGTACAGCTGCTGGTACTGGCGTGATGATGGCCCAGTGTTGATATTCCTGCCACCCGTGCCATGACTCGACTGCAAGCATCCAACAACACACCACCGTGACTGCCGAAGTTGTTGTGCCGCATGTATGGTATAGGGCAGTATAGGGGCCTTCATACCGTTTTGGAGTCCTTTGTACTAAACTTCTAGCATTGTCACGGCATATTACTAATTATTCGGACTTCTATGTGGCTTATCTTTCGGATACAGATCGCTCTATGTATGCACAGTCATATCCACCACTGCGAGACGTATGAACACATCAACGAACACAACAAATAACATGTTCACCTACAGCTGTGCACAAGCAGCTCTTATCTTCCCACCTACATTTCACAAGGAGTATCAGAGAGTCCGATGTTCGCTGGCAAGCTTCAGCTCATTTCGACTGTAAATAAACAATGAGGCCACGGCTGTTAGTCACCAAGCCTGATCCAGCCGCCGCCGCCTGTGACACTCAGCTGCTCAGGGTGTATAGTCTTGAGCCAACTAGCAGCTTTGGGAAAAGTCCAGGTTGCTGCCGAGGCAACAGCAACTTAATCCATTCCTCGCTCCCCTTTTCTACGCAGTCCTATCTCAGTCCGCACATTCCGCCATATTCGAATGCTTCCGTCCTGGAGTTTGCAGTTCTCTAACTAAGGGCCCTTTTTAGGGGCCTTGTTATAAGGGCGCCGTATTATATTGGGGACCTAGAAAGGGGGACCCTAATTTAGAGAACTACCCACATACCCTTTGCAAGGGAGCTCTGCAGCGCCTCGACGGGCTCACTTTCCTCCGACGACATGAATTCCGGCAGGCGCTACTTAGTTCCTTTCTATGCAACGAATCATGAAGAAATAGCAACCTTCCCTACCTACCGTCGACGCCGGAAAAGGGCGTGGGATCCCTTGAATCTGGACGCTTTCAGCCCCAAAGGGGTAAGGCTTCAGGGGTTACAGGCTTCGACATCGTCGATTGGTCCGGCAAAGTTTTGGTGCCACATGGCCTTAGCCTTAGCAAAACCGTTCTAGCTGGGAGCATCAGTGATCTGAACTCTACGAAGTGCTTGCGCTGCATTTCCGCCGGTCTCATCTCCGCTGTCTAGTTTGTCTTGGAGCCATCGCCACGGTGGAGGCCACTCATACTCAAGCGTACATACCTCGTGCTATTGGGCAACCTCCAGCAACGCCACCTCGCGACGTCCTGCGCCTGGGCACGATAACTATATACGATAACCTTGTGTGATACCCGAAAACCCATTCCAAACAAATTCCGAAAAGCGCGTGGTGCGGAGGGAAACAAAACCTTTTACCGAAACGGTTAGAGGTCTACGGGCAACCACGATGCAAGACTTAACCTTGACATGGAATGACATGGACAAGCTTGAATCCCCCTCAATCTTGTCGGTGTGTTGCGACTGAGAATGCCTTTTTTGGGGTTCAAACGTTGCAACGAGTCAAACTTACCCAAAGCGCCCTGTCACACAAGCGAGGAGCTTGAGATTTGCTGACAGGACCAACGCAAAGCCCGAAACCAGTTCGTCATCAGACTACCAGGGGCCCCTGAGTTTCTCCGACTCTTCTACAGCTCAACGCACGTTGACTGGCCGCCTTGGTACATGCACGTGAAAACCGCCGGATTCCTGGCAGGTCCGCCTGCCAAAATCTAACACTGCAGATTTGCTCTTGCAGCTGTCCAAGTCTGAGAAGTCGCCAGCAGGCGGCATTGCGGGAAACTCCCTGTCTTCGACAGGAGCAGCTGGTATCTTGGCTATGTCGCGATGTAAAGAGTAAAGCATTTCAGATCAGGCCCGTGCGTCCTCGAGTCGAACCGCAATGAACTCTATAAGCTACATTCTGGCCCTATTGGCTTGGAACCCAAACAGTCTGCGCCATATTCATCTTCGTCATACAGTTCTTGTACGATGCTCAGTATATATGAGGTATGCATTACTTGCATGAGAAGCGTACACAGACTTCATACCAATGATGGGCACAGCACGACGGCCTTAGGAGATAAAGCTTGCAGCTTCATGTGCTGGGCTGCCACGGGTGCTCCAAACAGGAGGTACCCCGGCTTGTCGTGCGCATGTCAAGGGCTTCACAGGCATTCTGGCAGGTCTGTTGCACGTTTGTGGCTTTAAGGGTTTTGGGGTTGTGGGTAGAACCAGAAGCCCCACTAGGGAGGAGGACGTGAGCATCTCGAATTCGGCTTCAGCCTACGTCCCTCCTAGGGCCAAGATAAACCCAGTGTACTCAGAGTCTCAGGATGTTGGGCCTTGCGCTGGCGCTCTGTGTTGTGGTCGGAACCTGCTCTCTGAAACCCCGAAACTCTGAACCGTTAAAGACTCTGCGTTAGCAAGGCGCTTTTTTGACTATTTTGTCTGCCATGTTCTGCCCCAGATTGAAACTTAAACTCGCAAAACCTCGAACCCTGATGCCCTAACCGCCTAACCCCTGAACTGTACATGCGGAAACGTATCCCTGCTGCACTGTGCTCTGGACTTTGGAATTTGGTCATGCCCTAAATACACCCTGAACCACAAGCCTACATCCTAGCCCTACACCCTAAAGCCTAAATCCTAAACCCTGCACCGCAACCCTAAATCCTAACCCAAAACCCTAAACCCCCCACCGCTACGCCCTTCAACCCTAAACCCTAATGATGTGAAGCCATTGAAGCGCCTTTGGCTTGGCAGAACATTTGCACTGTTGGCCTGATCCCGCTTCGGTCCCAGGCTTGGCATTTTTGCTGGGCCTTACATCCGACCCAACACCCCCAAACCGCAACACCCTAAGCCCTAAGCCCCAAGCCCTTAACCCCCAGCCCTAAACGCCTAAACCCTCAAACCCGAAGCCCTAAGCCCTAAATCCTGAAGCCTTAAACCCTCACGGGGTTAGGGCTCTGGGGTTTAAGGTAACTAGGGTGCTTTGACTTGGAAGACTGGGATTATGACCTATGACGATAAGAGATCTTGGTTCGGAATTTCGGTGAACATGTCGGCCTCTTTGGGGGGTTTTTGATTTGACGAGGACAGCTGTGAACATGCATCGCATTGTCAGTGAGAACTGCAGTTCCAGGGTGAGAAACATCGCAGCACCTCAAACCCTGGGCGCGGAACTCTGAAAGCCAAAAACCTCTACCCCCCTTAAAGCAGAATCACCTAGGGTATCCTGTTCGAACGCTCTGGACACCTTCTTTGGAAGTTTTGTGTCAAGGCAACGGGAAAACCCTTCAGTGCACTACTTTACCAGGCTCTTTGGGCCAAACCAACATGCGACATTCTTGCCTCACAGCCACTGTGCATTGGGAGTGGGGGCAGGAGGCTTTGGCAAGCCAGCTGAAGATGTCAAGGATGTCTGTCGTGTGCATGCGGTCTGCTGCTGAAGTCTGCATGTTTCACTGAGATCTAGCTAAGCATTGCATCCATTCCCACGAGCTCACGATGCGAGAATGTTCCGTGCTAGGGGCAATGTCCGGTCGGGAAATCTCATCTTCTTCAACTCGAGGCTACGGCTTCTGTAGAGGCTTCTGTTTTTCTTGGCTCTCTGATGCCGAAGCCAAGCCTGCATCACGTTGCCACTCCGTTTCGTGGGAGGACCATAGAGATCTCATGATCTCCATGGCCTACTATACGCGGCGTGCACTGCGTCACTACTAGTGCAGTATAGACAAGTATAGTATGGTATAGTAGAGTATGGTATAATATTATAATTAGCATCATATAGCATGGTATAGTATACACCATACAGCTTAAATGGGCGTCGTCGGCGTCGTCGTCTCAGATGACTTACAGAACTTGCCTCTTGAAAAATCGCCCTGGCACTAAAGTTGTTCGTCCAGCACTGGTAGTGGTGGTGGCCGTCTTTACGACTGGCAGGTTTTCGGGGTTTAGGGCTTTAGGTTTTGGGGTATAGTCACTTTTGATAGTTTCTGCTGCGCTCGGGATAAGAAGAAACTTGCAAACAAGCATAAGGTCTCTGTCACTGTTGCCATTGCTTTTTCTGCGACGTGCTCGCAAACGGTTCAATCCCCATGCTACCCACATCTTCCTGCTGATTACTCGGTTGGTCTAGAGGGAATCTGTACTGCGCCAAATCTCAAAGCCTAAGCCTCATCCGCAGGCTGTTGCTCATTTCAAGGATCGGCCCCCGAGGGCTGTGGCAAAGGTGATGGAATGGCTCGTGTGAACCTTTCCGGCACAGGCTTTAGCATCTGCTCTGTGTAAACGTGGACCCTAAACCCTAAACCCTAAGCCCTAAAAGTTCGGGAGGCGTGTGGACTTGTCGGGATCAGGGCAGCAGCAGACTGGCAATTGCAAGCGGAAGCCTCTCAAGTTCTTACAGTCTACCATCGTATACAGAACGACCCCTTCTCTGGCTATCTCTCGTCGAGTCACTCATACTTGCGCAGGGAACGCGTGATTTCCAGAAGATATTTCGGGACTCAGCCTGTATGCCTTGAATGTAGATGATGCATTGCAGGCGCGGAGTAGGACTAAGCAGTTTCAACCAGCTTGCAGGTCTGCGAGCTTCAGGATTTTCGGGATAGGTCTTCAGGTTTTCGCTACGGATGTTAAGTACATGTCACTCCTTGCTTCTTCCACACTGCACAGAAACAATCCCGAAGAGTCACATCAACAATCTTGTTGAACCCCCTGCCTTCTCCTCCGGATGCGGAGACAGTGTCACCAAGAAAACAGGTCGGGCATTGCCGCTGAGGCAATCCCGGAGCATCCTGGCTGGGATCTGTCTGAAAGTCCGCTAGTATATGTACTGTCAGCGCATGGGCAAGTCAAGGCACGATGTTTGAATTTGCGGTCAATTGTGTGTTAACACATGCCAGGAGTCCTACCTTGTGCCCAAGCCCTCTGACATGCAACAGGTCGGCTGCACTGGCCCAGCACGTGCTTCCTTCTTGATGCCGAAGTAGCCGAGGTCTGGGCAAGCGAGGCTCCGGAGGCTAGAAGTTGGGGGAATCCGCCACGGAGAGACAGCACCATGCTCGCTGCCTGGTTATCCTCAGCAACCGCATCGTCACAACAATTGGCGTGGCCAGCATCACCAGCAACAGTGCCAGCATCAACAACACCATCATGATCATCGGCATCATCATCATGATCATCATATTGTTGTTTCTGACCTATGCTGGTTGCCATGTAAGCAGTCACGAAGATTCTCGCCATGTGACCAATCACGAAGCTTCTTGCGACTATTGGGTGCTTGGTACTGGTGCTCCTCGTCTTCGTTTGGGGGCTGTGGTGGTAGGTGGTGGTGCTGATGCTGGTGGTGGCGGCGATTTCGTCCTGTTGTAGGTGCTGTGGGTGGGGTTGTGGATTTTAGTTGTGTCTGTGGTTGCTGTTGCTGTTGTGGTTGCTGCTGGCCATGCTGTTCCGTCACTGTCGTCAGTGTCGCTGTTGCTTCTGTTTGCACTGTTCCTGGTCTTGGCGGTTGTTGTGGCGTCGGTGGACATGGTGTCTTTGTCGCCTACTCAGAGGTTTGTTAAGCGCGACTAATGACTAATGTCGTTGATCGTTGTTCTTCTTCTGTTTCTTAACTGATATACCACTACCAGGGACTACCATGTACTACTATACCACTGTGTCTGCACTTTCCAATGAAACCTTTTGCTCGACCCCAGTGGCCCGACTGCATGGCTCGCATCATCCGCCACAGACTGTCCCGGTGCGGAAGCGCCTAGGCTCAAACTTCAGTCTAGAAAGTAAGCTACTCAGAGTAGACCGTTGTGTCGCAACAGAGCATCGACGGTCGCATCCTTGCCGCGGAAATCACGGTAGACCTTGCTGGGATGTCTCTCGCCACCGCAGCCTAGCACCGTGTCTCGAAAGCGGCGCCCAACGGAGCGCAGGGCACCGTCATCAAGGCCAGCCTCCTCGAAGGCAGCAAAAGCATCGGCGGACAAAACCTCTGCCCATTTGTAGGAGTAGTATCCTGCTGCATAACCGCCACTGAAGATGTGAGCGAAGGAGCACAAAAAGCGATCTTCTTCTAAGGGCGGAAGGATCTGGTACTGGGCAGCCACTCGCCTCTGTACATCCAAGAAAGTTTCCGGCCCATCCGGATCATGCTCACAATGGAGCTTCATGTCCAAATCACCGAGCTGCAGTTGCCGAAGCATCGTGGAGGCGGCCATGAAAATGCGACTGCCTTTGATCTTCTCGAAAATGTCGGAAGGAAGTGCTTCCCCTGTTTCGTAGTGCACCGCAAACGACTCCACAGTTGCCTTGTGGTACAGCCAGTTCTCCATGAACTGCGAGGGAAGCTCCACCGCATCCCACTCGACGTTTTTAATGCCAGCGCAGCCACCATCCTCAACATGAGTCAACATGTGCTGCAGACCATGGCCGAACTCATGGAACAGGGTCTCAGCTTCTCGGAAGGTCATCAGAGATGGCTTCGTGCCCACTGGCGGGGAGCCATTGCAGGTCAAGTAGGCCACGGGCTGTGTGCCAACAGCCCTGGAGCGACCCAGGCAACCATCCATCCAGGCACCGCCTTGTTTCTCTTCAGGTCGCGAATAAGGATCCAGAAAAAAGGAGGCGATATGGCCTCCCGTGGAAGCATCCTGCACTTTGAAGAACATGACGTCAGGGTGCCATCGCTCCGCGGCATCGTCGTTCTGAGTGATGTCTACCCCGAAGAGCTTCGAGGCAATCGAAAACATGCCTTCCAGCACTTTGGGGAGCGAGAAGTAGGGTCTCAGGGCCTCTTCGTCGTAGGCATACTTCTCCTCCTTCAAGCGCTCCGTCCAGAAGTTCACATCCCAGAGCTGCAGCTTCCCTTCGTAACCTTTCCTCTTGGCGAAGTTCTGCAACTCTTCGAGCTCTTTCTCGGCCGCTGGCCTTGCGACCTTGAACAAGTCCTCCGTCAGCTTCGTGACCGCCTCGATGTTCGGAGCCATCTTTGAGGCCAAGGATTCGGAGGCGTAGTTCGGAAATCCCAGCATGCCCGACTCTTTCTTCCTCAGCTGCAGGATCTCCTTGATGAGAGGCCCGTTGTCCACCTTGCCGGCGGAAGCGCGTGAGATGAAGGCACGGTAGAGCTTCTCGCGCAGTTCGGAAGACTTCAGGTGCTTCATGGCCGGAAGGTAGGAAGGCATGTCCAGAGTGAGCCGCCAGGGACCCCCCTCCGGAGTTGCTTCGGTCTTCTCGGACTTCCCACTCTGGGCCTGATTATAACCCCCTTCCGGAGCTGCCTCGGCCTTCTCCGACTTTCCACTCTTCGCTTGATTGTATGATTGCGCCGCTGCCGCGAGTGCACTTGTGGGGAGGCCTGCGACATCCTTCGCTTCTGTCAGAATCAGTTCGAAAGCCTTCGTTGAATCCAGCAGATTGTTCTGAAAGGTTGTGCTGAGTTCGGAGAGGCGCAGCTTCATCGCTTTGAACTCTTCCTTTGCCTTCCCTTCGAGGTCAACCCCACTCAGCCGCATGTCGCGCAGAGACGACTCCACAATGCGCTGCCGGGACTCGGCAAGAGCACTCGTCTCCAAGCCGCCCAAGGCATCGAAGACGACCCGGCTTTGCGCAAGCTCCATCTCAGCCTTGACTACTTCCATCTCCATCGCTTGGTGGACTTCGCGCAGGGCATCGGAGTTCTTCACACCGTTCAGATGACTGACAACACCCCAGCTGTATTCGAGCGGGTGCTGCAGCTTCTCCAGCGATTCCACCACCCCCTCGTATTCAGGCTTCTTATGTGGGAGCTCTTCCTGTAGGCTCTTGAAATCCTCACGCAACGATTTCAAGATAGCTTCTATGGCTGGCTCCACATGCTTTACATTGATGGACTGAAACCGGGGAAGCCCCTTCGTCTCCAACAGCGGGTTGACTTCGGCAACAGGAGCTGCCACTGCCATCGCGAGAAGGTTACGCCTGAAAGCAGAAGCTGGCTTCAGTCTTCCTTGAGCCGGAGACGTTGGCCATGCAGCATCCAAAGCAAGCTTGACAGGTGCACGTGACATGCATCCTGAAATATACAGACATACAGTCGGTCGTACGGTTCACAGCCGTGTCGGAAACTAGCTTCTTCATGCTGCTTCCACCCTCAACCTGTACACCTCGAGCATCCACGAACATCATGCGACCTGTATCAAGCTCAGCAACCACAACCGAACCGAACGAAGGAAACGCGCGAAGAAACACCGCAGCTCAACAGTAGCATGGCCTGCCCATCACGTCGACTGGCTTTGATCACTGCCTGACGTGCGGCTATATACCAGTTTAAAGCTGGGAACCATGGGAATGCCCATGAGGTGCCTGTACCTCAACACGCGACGCACGCCATATACATCGAACCTCAATGCAAGAGTGCCAAATCTCAAGCCGCACCTTTCTACATTCAAACCCCCAAACCCTGAATACTTGTAGTGAAGGAAATCCTCCACCCAGCTCCGAAGAGAGCAGCTCTGCCCTTCAAAACCCGACGCAAGAACAATAAGACGAGGCATCTAGTCTACAGCACAAATGGAACTCTGTCTAGTTCAACCCTGACGACCTCGAGGGCGCTGTAGGCCGACGACACCTGGTTTCCATGGGCTTGCACGGGAGTCTAGATCTCGTGCCAGATCTGTACAGATGATCAGAGTTGTGAATTACAGTCTTGGGTTTCCCTTGATTATGACAGCTTTCTACATTTAGGGATTCGGATTAGGGGACAGAGTTGGAACGGCTTGGGCACAGGGCTCCTTCACCCTGTACATTCAATTCTCCACATACATGCCGGCAGCTTCAGGATGTATAGCTGTCGGCATGCTGAATCATGTTCTACATCCTTACAGCTGTCTGAACATTCAATTGCGGTCCCGCTGCAAATGTGATTAGTTCCCTGCTACGACTCCGGCCAACTTATTGAGTCCTCGTCCCAGTGTACTTCGATGTTGACTGGGTTCATGCTTCAAACTGTGTTTCTAAAAATCGGGGTTATGGCTATGTTTCATGCTTAGGTCTTTCGGCGGAGCGTGTTGACCCGGTCGATTGCATCATTCGTGACTTATTTTGGGATTGTCATTTTGTTGACTCTAATGATGATTGCTACTGTTGACTTTTACGCGGTTTTGTGGTAAGCAGGGCGATCAAAACCAGAAAGCTTTCACCACTGGGGCTGTTTCGCGGAGCGTCTAGATAAAAGAACTCTCTGCCGCAAATCCTCGACAGTCTCGTAAGCGGTATCTGAGCTGCATTTCTGAGATACCTGTCCCCTCGCCTCTAGAAAGATTGGAAATTCTGTGGTACTTCGGGAGCTCGGGAGCAAAGCGGAAGACGAGTATCGTCTACGGGTGCTGGTGACACCAGGACCAGAACTGCGAACAGGATTCACAAAAACCAAAGACAGGAGCAACCCTACCACTACTACTACTACTACTACTACTACTACTACTACTAAAGCTACTACTACTACTACTACTACTGCTACTACTGCGTAGCACTGAAGTAATGTGTACATGTGCATGACCTTGATGGCCAGACAACCATGCGAGTGAGAGGTTCCGCGAAGGCAGACCGGCAGGCACAGCAAAGGCACTGCACGCAAACAGGCACAAAGAGTGGGAGAGAGAGAGACAGAGAGAGAGAGAGAGAGAGCGAGACACGACCAAAGAACTGAGAGAGACTCCAACACCTGACAGGAAGCTCAACCACAGCGAGGCAACCACAGAAGATCCGACAGCCATCCATCGAGACCTCTAAGACCCAGAATTATCAACAACACGGCTCCCTCGCCATGCCTCCCTGGAGGTAGCGCCGGAAGCAGCCTGATTAATCTAGCAATTTAATCCGCGTGTTTGCTCGGTGGATGCATGCGCCAAGCTTGCGGTTCAGGGTTCGTTGCTGTTGAGCCGTTCCAATCCGTTTAATCGAAATCTGCGGGGCTTGCGGTGATGCATGTGCCTGTTGAATCTCGCCATGCGCCTAAGCTGCAAATTCGTGCAAACTCCATCTGAACCCCAAACCCGGAGCCCGAAGCCTGCAACCCTAGGCCCGAAAGCCTCAACCCCAAACAAGCGCAGCAGCCCTGAAGCCGCTTTAAACCCTTCACCCAAACTCTATAATCCAAAGAATCGGTCCATTGAGTAGCCCTTATCAATACCCTCAAACCCTAAAGCCCTAACCTCAAAACCCAACCCTCATCTGGGTCAGGGCCCCAACTGCAGGGCTTGAGAGGGGGGCCAGATCGGCCAGCCTTAGCGACAAGTTTTCAGGGTTTGGGGGTTTAGGGTTTTAGGGTATAGGGTTTGGAAGGGTGCAAGGATTTCCGGTGAAGGGATTTAGGGGTTCCGGGGTTGGGGGTCTTAGGCTTCGGATGTGATGGGTCTTCGGTCTGGGTTTATGGCTCTGATTTACGTGATAGTCCTCTGATCCGGGTTCAGGTGCTGGACTTCCCGGGCCGTGGGATTCAGGGCACGAGCGTAACCAATAACCCAAGGTAGAAGTGAGGAGGCCGCCAAGGCTGACTCAGGCTGCGGTGCATAAACCGATGCAACAAGTCTCAAACACCCGCGCACCGAATCCGGAGTGATGAGCCATCATTGAAACTCAGCCCGGGAAACACTTCACAGTCGAACACAGAAGTCGGGAGCAAAACGCCCAAGTCACTGGACCCAAACCGCCAATCCGTCAAGGCCCGTGGCACAATCTTGCTCCGAACGGAGCCGCCCGTCGCACGATTCGTTCTGCAGGTCATTCGGCATTCGGAGTGATTTGCGGTTTCTTGAACTAGGGTGGCTCCAAAACACCGGAGCAATGAACCTGACTAGCGGTGCGATGCGTGCTTACAACCCTGACCCTGCCTTGGGATGCATTCCCACATTAAGTGACGTTTGGTAAGTTTGGTGAGTCGAATTTGGCTTCTGGGGTTGGGATATGGTTTAGCAGTTTAGCAACAACGGCTGCCGACGTCTATTGGTTTTCCAGAGCGGGACAATCTTGAGAGAGGTAGCCTGCTTTCTAGGCATCAAGATCGGTTGGACTGCTGGCAGCCCTCGATGAACTTTGGCCAGGAGCACAAAGCATATAGAGGGACAAAACCCCAATATGTGTAGGGGAAACAGTGTTTTTCCCAATGCGTTTACAGTAATGCTTCATTGGAACCTGCCAGGTCTTGACGATGGAAGCCTCACTTCGCAAGGCCCGACCCCCGAACTCATCTAGTATAGGGGCTTTCATGATTTTAATAGGGTTTTGGGGTATATTATACTATAATTCGAACAAAGGGTCACCAAACAAGTATTGGTAATTATATAGCCCTGGGTCCCAGGTCCTATATATGCAGGACTTTAAGACCTTAAAATTTGCACCCCCCCGCAGGCCAAAAAGGTTCATCTTCCCAGATCACTGTTGGAACTCCCAAAGGTGCTGAAAGCACAACGGAGAAGCTGCTGCCTGGTGAGGTGCAGCATGACCAAAACCTGAGCCGCGAGAAACCCTAAACCCTCAAAAACCCTTTGCCCTGAGAGTGAACAGGAATCTCACATTGAATCAAGCCTCCTAATTCCCAAAGTCGTCTTCTGTTTCCGAGGGCCAGAACGTCAAATCCAAGAATTTCGAGAGCACCAACTCCTCCCAAACCCCTAAAACCCTGCACCCCAAAAGCCCTAAAACCCTAGACCCCTAAAGCAAAAACCCCAAACCCCCTAAACCCCCTAAACCCAAAAAGCAAATCCCTCCTGGCAACGAGCCCCGGGCATGCGACTCGAAGGCTTCGCTAGCCGTTGAGGCCGGAGTGCGGGGGGTCTTCGGCGCCGAGTAGGGGCCCTGTGCTGTGGGCTTTCAGAGTTTAGGAGTTCAGGGCGTTAAGGGATCTTAGGGTTTAGGAGTTCAGGGCTTTCGGAGGTCTTAGGGTTTAAGGTTTTAGAGCGTGAAAGTTTAGGAGTTCAAGGCTTTAAGGGATGTTGGGGTTTTTGGTTTTAGGGCTTGGGGTCAGCTTCCTTGGGTCGAGCTCCACTTTTCCTCATGCCCAGCTCTGTCGCCAACTAAGGAGGCCAAAGGCTGCTCAGGGTTTGGGGGCCCTGTGAGTTGGGAGTGCGCAGTACCCTTTCCTTAAAGAGTACGTCCTGAATGACGCAGGATTTTCGTCTGATCTCAAGTATAACTTCAGAGATTAACAAATAGACGCTAAAGGATGCTCAGAACCCCAGTATACCTATAATTTATAATCTAGCGTATAGGAGAGCACCCATGATTGCGGAATGAAGGAACATAGCTCATCCGAACATGGTCTCAGACTAACTTGACGGGGAATTGAAGACTAGTCATACGAGTGACGCTTACCACGAGGGTGAGTAGCAGCAGACTTCAAATACTCGGTTTCCAGATTTGGGGTGCTCTTGGGCTTGGAGTCGATATGAGGCTACGGGCGAGGGATATGGGGAATCTTGCTCGCTTCACCAGGGTCTTCTTTCTGCATCCCAGTCGGCTATGACTGCTCGACGTTCGCTCTTCTCCTCTTGTAATGGTATTCCTCTTACTCCTAGCGCTACTACTGGACTAGCCATTCTTAGTCTCTATGGCTGCAAACGTCTTCAGATGGATTTTCAGAACGACAGCAATTGCCGCTCCCACCTCTGATGCGGTGAAGGCAGAGTTCAGGCTGCGGAGGAAGTCGCGACTGAAGCAAAAGGCGTGACGAGCCGCACGAAGGGCTCAGTTTTCAGAGCTTCCGACCATCATGCAGTGTTGTGAGTACGCCATGCAGTGTGATGGCACCCATGCATGGAAAGAGACAATGACAGGGAGCAGCTCAAGCTCGTGCGCAAGTCCTGTTCCTGAGACTTCGACCGGACGAGACGAGTCGCTAGACTTAGACAGGATAAGGTCCGAAAGGGTGGTATATCAAGGTGCGGAAAGCAGGACAACACAACCTGGCTATGAGCATTGTCGCGGTTGGACGTTCTCGCGAAAAGCAACTCCGGAAAATCTTGCTTGTGTCGTTTGCAACGCTTGCAACAAACACTTCGAGAACCTTCGGTGCAAAGAGAAGAGTGAGATAAATGTGTCAGGTACGACGAAGACATCATGCTGCCGCTGCCTGTCTTTGACTCGGCGAGTGCAGGCACCTTCGATGAAGGGATTGTCACCTGCCGGCACAGATGCTGAACAACAGCGGCAACGACATCAATGAATGATGCATGCATGCATGCATGCATGTTTACGGACTCGGGCTGGTGACTCTCTCCGCGGCTTAACTAAATCTTGAAGAAGCAAGCGTGACTGATACGACTCTCGCAGCAGTGCGAGGTCCTCAAACTACTAAACCTACATGCAGACATGCAAGAACAAAAAACAATGGTCAGTCTTACCGACTCTAACTAGTGAGATGCAAACTCGGCATAATCCTTCTGCTATATCGCCATTTTGATCATTATTGTTATTACAGTTGTTTTCATTGAAATACTTAGTAGCGATTCAGTATCAATGATTCTTGCCGTTCCAACCTAAAAAAATCATCGGCCTTGGCGAAGGCTGTTAGGATTCAGGAGTTTAGGGTTCACAAATCATGCAGAGTAAAGAAGGCACACGTACTAGGACGTCTGGCGCAAGCGCCACATGCTGAAGCATCTTCCGAATTCCAGGACGGCATTGGCTCGAATGTGCTGCTAGAGATGATTTAGCTGCAGGCAGCTGAACAGTGTAATGCATCTCGAGGCATCGTTTGAGATCGTACTCTAGAGACCAGTATCTGGATTGTAGAACACGATGTCAAGCTGCTCACCAGGCACATTAAAACCCAAGCCTGACAAACACCACAATGCTACAATCTTCTCTCAACATAAAAAGCACCTTCGAAACCCGAGCGCCTGTGTTCGAAAGGAGCATTGCACCCGCGAAGGCAAGGTGACCAGCACGACTTTCATCTCGGCACACGCTCAAGGGTTCCGGTTCATTAAAGGCTCCGGCCAAGGACCATCATCAGTGTTCCCTTGCTGGAACTATTCTGCTGCAATCATTTAGGAGGCGGAGAGATGTAGCGAGTGAAGCCAATAATCAAAAGGATTTAGGGATGCAGCCATGCACCGGAATTTCAATAAAACCCCCAACCTGCGCTGAAGCTTCACAGCTTCAGGCAGCGCCCTCGCGACTACAAGCTTCAAATCCACTTATCTCATGATGCCGACCCGAGCCCCAACTCCACTCGAACCCCGACCAAGAGCGAGGCTCAATTCAGGTCGAGATGCTTTCCCTGCATGCGGCATGGCTTTCACTTTGTGTCTTGTTTCGTGCTTTGGGACTCAGGCGAAGGGTCCAATTTCAGGGAAGCTTGATGGGCTGTGTTCATCTTGGATTCGTTTTTGCGCTAATCGCGCTCGGGGACCTTGATGTGTTTGATCATCTACGGCATGTTTACACGGGCAGTCAGCCGCCAGAGCAGGACTTAGCAACAATAGCCACAAGCAAGGATGCACGCGACACCGTAACGCAGCAGAAACAAGCATCGACCTCTGCCAAGTCAAAACCCAAGTCCATCTGAATCCAAAACGCAACTTGGTTTTGGCTGAGTTTCCATGTCTCACAATCGAACCGGAAATCGAAGTACCCAATCAAGAGCAAGAAAAGGCGGCAAGCTCAAAGCTTTCAGCTCAAGGCCCTCATCCGAGAAGCAAAGCAGGAAACTGAACAGCCACGGAATCCCCGGATGTGCTGCAACCCGGAAATTGCAATACGAGCAACAACTACGTGCTTGGCTTGAGCGCTGATTTCCAGCCTTCCACACACATGAAAAATGAAATGGCGCAATGTATTACAATGTTACATGATGTTATGGTACATCATATTCCGTTTCAGTTTAGGTCCGGCCTAACAGGTCCACCGTGCGCTGGTTGCGCACCTCCACAACCTGTAGATCCACCTCAGGGCAAACGCTTGTTTTCAAGGTTGAGGGATGTTCAGGATGAGATGGAACAACCCCATCGCAGGCCCTTTGAAGCGAAAACGTCAGGTCTGACAAAGGGTTCGATATATTGCAACATACCATAGAACATTGTAGTATAGTCTAGTATAGTATAGTATAGTATAGTACAGTATAGTAGAGTACAGTATAGTATAGTACAGTATAGTAAAGTCTAGCACATATATATATATATATATATTCTACATATTCATTTAGTTAGTTGTCTGGTTATTTATTTGGTTATTCATTAAGGAACTGCCCGCAGTGCTTCGGGCTCAGCCTTCAGCTTCGTTGAGCCAGCCACTCTCAGGGGGATTGACAGAAAGGTCAAAGACGCTGCAGCAAACATGAAGCCCTCGAAAGCTTATGGGTTTAGGGTTTAGGGCTTAGGGTTTAAGTATAAGTTTGAAGCTGAGTTCGTGAAGAACATCAAACCCTTTCTGTCGCACCAGCTTCGCCCATCGCAAAACCCCAGCAAAATGGAGCCACAGCAGTAAAACGAGCAGTGCATAGTTCGAACATTCGCGAGTCAGAAGTGGCCATTCCAGCAAAATGCGCATCCCGTGGAATCTTGATGCAAGCCATTAGAGTACATTATCGTAGATTAGAGTATATGATCCCAAAGTGCAGCCCAAGAGCCTCCAGCATTGCACGCCAGTCATCCCGCTCCTGTCCCCGTGCTCAGCACTCGGCAGCCCGTCGACTTAGTGCTGCGGCAAAACTGCTCAGTGGAAGGAGATAGTAGATTATGGTACAATTATAGTCAATTATCGTGTATTGCAGTACATTGCTTGCATCTTCTTGTTCCTCGCTAGGGCAGCAAGATAACATGAAGGCATGCCATGTGCGCACAAACACAAAAAAACAGAAGCAACGCCAAATGCATGCGACAGAAAATCTGACACTCCAAAGCAAGCATCCTGATATCACAGGCCCGCTCACATCAGACAGCCCGTCGCAATCGGTTTCAGCACTGCCGCAAAACGGCTC